TTCCAGCAGGAGCAGCCCCCTCCAGCCTGATCCCACCTGTGTACTCCACCTCCACGTCCGCCAGAGCCTTCAGCGTGTTCTCGTAGGAGACCTCCCCGCGCTCCTGGGCTCCCACGCGGTCGTACACCAGCTTGGTGCTCTCGGTCAGCTCGGCGGCCATGGCCTCGATCTGCTCGGCCGTCAGGTCCCAGCGCAGCTGGCTGGCCACGGGCCGCGGGGCCTGGCCGTCCACGACATTCCCTGCGGGACAGCGGCGGCGACAGCTCGGGGGGAGCATTCCGGGCAGAGCCCGGCCGCCGGGAATCGGCGGCGGGATCGCCGAGCGGGCGCTCCTCGCCCCTCCCGGTCCCGAAACCCGACTCCGTGCCCCGCCGGCTGCTCGGGGACGGGGCCACAGAGGTGACCCGCGGGGAGAGGAGACCCCGGCCGGCCCGGGGGACCGGCCCCGGCCCGGTGCTGCCGCCCCATCCCTCTCCCCTCACCGCTCTCCCCGGTGCCCCCATCCCGCCGGTACCTGTCGGCGGGGCCATGTCGGGGGTGCCGGGGGTACCGGGAGGCCCCGCGCTGCTGACGAGGCCGGGAGGAAACCGGGCCGGCCCCACGCACCGAGCATGTGCCCCGACCGGAGAGGCGGGCGGGAGAGCGGGGCATGCTGGGAGCCTGGAGGACCGGGCCGCTCCCGCCGCGCCCGCGCCGCACCGGGGCCGGGCGGCGGGGGCGGCTCATCCCCGCCGCGACCCTCCGGGCCGGCCGGGAGCGGGCGCGGGGCGGGCGCGGAGCATCCCCGGGTCCCGCCCGCCCGTTCCCATGGCAACGCCCCCGCGCGTTGCCGTGGCAACGCCGGCATCTCTATGGTCCCGCTGGGGGCGGGGCTTCCGCGCCAGGCCACGCCCATTCCGGTGCACCGGGGAGGGCGGGGCGGCGGGCGCGGCGCATGCGCAGTGCGGGAGCGCGCCCGGCCCAGGCGAGTGTCCGGTGAGCGCGGGGGAACCGGGACCGGCACCGGGACCGGCACCGGGACCGGGGCTGAGCTCCCGCCGGGACCCTCCGGTGCCGGGCCGTGCTGTGCTGCCCGCCGCAGCCGCCGTCCTGCTCCGCCTGTGGGCAGCGGCACCGGAGGGCACCGGGACTGGGATGGGGAACCCGGGGCACCGGGGCTGGGCCCCCGCCGGGACCCTCCAGTGCTGGGCCGTGCTGTCGGGGAACGGGAACCCAGCCGGGCCCGGAGCTGCTCCCGGGTCGGGGAACGGGAGATCCCGGGTCGGGGAACGGGATCACAGCCGGGGAACGGGAGATCCCGGGTCGGGGAACGGGAATCCAGCCGGGCCCGGGGCTGCTCCCGGGTCGGGGAACGGGAGATCCCGGGTCGGGGAACGGGATCCCAGCCGGGGAACGGGATCCCAGCCGGGGAACGGGAGATCCCGGGTCGGGGAACGGGAGATCCTGGGCCGGGGAACGGGAGATCCCGGGTCGGGGAACGGGGAACCCAACCGGGCCCGGGGCTGCTCCCGGGGCTTCTGGTTCCGCTCGGGTCCGTGGGACTCCGGTGAAACGGAGCTCGTTCCTCGCTTAAACGATCCTGGCTGTGCTACAAACCCACTTAAGGTCCGGGGCTCGCTTTCGCTGCCCCGGGATCACTGGAATTCCCAGCCTCGGGAATTTTTGGGCTCTCTGTGCTTTGGGATTTTGGGATTTCTTTCCCTTTTCCCCGCCAGGACAGCCCTGGCTACCAGGGGCTACCAAATCCCTCCCGCTCTTGGCTCTGCTTTCAGGAGCAAGAAAATTGGGAATTTTTCCTGGTGAGCTCCTCAGTGCTCCCAGGGTTTCAACCCTCTGGGTTGAATCCAGGCCAGGAGAATTCCTAAGGAATATCAGGAAAGTTCTGGAGTTCTTCCCTGACCGAGAGGACAGGGCAGCTCCCTCATCCCCCCAAATCCATCCTGGCCTCCTCCGAGGCACAGCAGCAGCAAACCCCTGTTTGCCTTTCCCCGCTCCAGCCCAGCCTTGGAGCCTCTGCAGGAATTTTTTGGGACACCAGGAGGAGGAGGAGGAGGAGGAGCCCGGCCCCTCGCAGCCCTTCTCTCCCAGCATGGCAGACCAGAAGCGTCTGGCCTTCTCCATCATCCAGTTCCTGCACACCCAGCTCCAGAACGGGAGCATGTCTCCAGACGCTCAGGAGAGTTTGGAAGGTGGGTGCATCTCCCAAAATTTGGGAGAATTTTCGCCGTTGTCTCCCTGTTTTCTACCCTTGGCTGGGCTGCTGCCGGTGCTGAACCTCGCTGGGATTTCGGAGTTGATTTTTCCTTTTTTGGGGATTTATCCAGGGGTGCTGGTGGCTCGTGTGGCTTCTGATCTCTTCCAAGAGCAGCTTAGCTGGGGACAGAAGCCTCCCTGATCCCTGCTTGGAGACTCAGAGGGTTCATCCTGGATGCTGAGCATTCCGTGGGGTGGGAGGTGGGAATTCCCCAGCTCCAGGGAAACTTTTTGTGCTCCTGGCCTTGTTTGTCCTCTTCTGCTCCCCAAAAATCCCTCAGGGTTTTTCCAGGCCTTTCCAAAGGACAGGGATCTTAAAAGGATCTCCCTAAGGAGCTTAAGGTTTAGTCCTTGGTTTGTGGGTTTGTCCTGGTGAAAGGAGCGTGGCTGTGGGGTGCTGGGAGCGGGATATTTTGGGATGTGGAATGTGGCAGGAGGCTCTCCTTTCCCTGGGAGCAGCTTCCCGAGCCTGAGGAGGGAGGAGGTGGCTCCCAGAGCCAGGGGAATGTCTGGGTCTCTCCCTGGAATTCTGGGCCATTCCCACGTTCCCAGCGGTGGGAATGCTGCTGCAGCCCAGCCTGATTCACTTCCAACCCCAGGAATCCCTCGGGATGGGAACTGGGGTTGGCTCCATCCAGGATATCCAGAGGGAAGCTTTGCCCAGCTCCGAGTTTTGCCAAAATCTGAGGGTACAGCCCAAAAATCCCATCTGGCGTGGGGAAAGTGGTGGAGTTTTTCCTGGTTTTTTTGAGGGATGAGGGGGAGGGATGAATGTTTATTAATTAATGACCTGATTCTCCTTATCCAGTGGCCATCCAGTGCCTGGAAACAGCCTTTGGGGTCTCCATGGAAGACCAAAGCCTGGCTGTGTCCCAGACCCTCCCCGAAATATTTGAAGCTGTGGTAGGGAAGGTGAGTGAGTGCCCTGGAACATTCCCTTTTCCTTAAGCTCTGCTGGATTTTCCTGGAGGCTGCTGCTCTCCTCAGGAGCTCCGTGTGGGAGGGGAACGTTTTGGGCTGGAAAAATGGGAATTGTGGGAATGCTCAGCTCAGCTTCTCCCTCTCTCCTTGGAAGGAGCCGGAACACTCCAGAACGAACTCGGAGCCCGTCACTCCCTCAGAAGATGACGTGGCTGAAGCTGAAAGACTCAAGACTGAAGGTACCAACCCCTGGAGCTGCTGGATAACGAGGGTTTGGTGCTAATTGGGAGGGGATCTCAATTCCCTGGCACCTGAGGAATGCTTGGAATGGAGGGGAAAAACAAAATGTTTTCGATTTCTGCCTCTTGCTCCGTTTGGTTTGCAGAAGTGTGGGGAGATTTTGCTGCCAGGGATGTTGGAGCAGTGGGATTTTTATCCCAAAAACCCTGTGGGGTGTGGAGCAGAGCATCCATCCCTCCTGCTCTGTGCGTGGCTTTTTCCTGGGAAAAAGTGGGATGAGTGTGGATGCAGCACTTCCCCCCTGAGCCAGCAGCTGGGGTGATTTTTTTGGGATGCAGCATCAGGAATGCTGGAATTTCCAGCACAGCCTCGCAGCTGGACCTGCCCCACGCTGACAAACCTCTCCCCTGTGCTATTTCCATGGATCCAGGCCTTTGCTTTGGTTTATCCCAGTTCTCTTCCATCCTTTCCCACCCTCCTTTCAGGAAACGACCAAATGAAGGCAGAAAACTTCGAGGCTGCCGTGTCTTTTTATGGAAAAGCCATCGAGTTAAACCCAGCCAACGCCGTTTATTTCTGCAACAGGTACTGAGCAGCTCCCCCAGCTGCTCCCTGCTGGGATCCCAGGCTCTGGAATGCCCCAAATTCCCATTTTTCTAATGATTCTGTGAAGTTTCAGAGCAGTTCCTCGCTCGTTTGTGGGGTGGTGCCCTGCTTTTGGTGCCTCCTGGGATCTCTGGGTGGGGAGTGGGCATGGAAATGAGCTTTATTCAGCACTGGAAGGATGAGGGATGCCAGGGAGTGGGGTCTGCTTCCATGCAGAGTGGGATATGTTGGGAATTCCGGGTGGAATGAGGAGCTGGAGGCTCCTTGTGGGGAATTAAGGGAGCTGTGTGTGCAAAATCAGCCGTGGAAGGGGAGAAGTCTTTGTGTTCCTCGGGCAATTCTTGGATAAAACAAACCTTGAACTTTAATTTGATGGAATTCCCTGCTTGTGGTGGGAGCTCAGATCCAGCTGGCCACGGTGGGACGGGAATTTTGGGTGGGAATTCCTGCTTTTGGCTCTGTGGCAGCGTTTGGGGCTGGTGCTTGTGAGAATTGCGAGGTCGAGCATCAAAGCCAACCTCAAAAACCAAATATTTCCTCTTTGGAATGTGGGGGAAACTTCGAAAAATTGAGGGATGGGGGAAACCAGGGGGATTTTTCTCACCTGGAAAATGATCCTGGAATGTCACCAGGAGGAGTGAGAACCTGGAATGCCACCAGGAGTGAGAACCTGGAGCAGAGCAGAGCTGAAGCTGGGACTCAGCTCACACCTGGGGGTGATTCCTGGGATTTTCCAGCTCCTCAGCATTCCCTGCTTCCCTTTTTCCCTGTTTTTCCAGAGCTGCTGCCTACAGCAAGCTGGGGAATTATGCAGGAGCAGTGAGGGACTGCGAGCGAGCCATCGGCATCGACCCCAGCTACAGCAAAGCCTACGGCAGGATGGGGTGAGCAGCACCCAAAAAAAACCAAAAAGTGGGAGATTCCCACTTTTTCTCGGGAATTCGGGGTCCCTGGACACCCCAGAAACAGGGATTTTATAAAAATTCCTGCTGTTTCAGTTTTTCAGGGTGGAGAAATATTTTATATTTTTCAATTTTTAGGAAGTTGGTGGGACAGCAGTTGGATAAAACAAGTGACCCAAAAATTCCTCTCTGACTTTGATTTTTATTTTCTTTTCTGCTGGAATTTTGATTCCCTGAACATTTCTTATTTCTCAACTCTGAGAAAGTCGGTGGGGACAACTGCATTTAAGAAGTGCCAATAAAAAAAACCCTCTATGACTTTGATTTTTGGGCAAATTGGGCAAAAGAGATGACA